AATTCCTTGGATTTTCCGTTCTAGCATGCTAACTGCGACTTGAAATACGCAGTTGACTCACATTATTGTCAAATTAATATTTAACCTAATATTTAACAAAATTCCAAAAACGTGAAGGCTCCTGTCAACATATATCCAGAGACATTGCAAATAGACTAAAACTACCTAATTTCCGTTTCATTCCTACCACTACCATGTTATTCATACATCTTCTTTAGAAGACATTAATAGTGAAGGCAGATCGTATCAAAAGTGTGTGAAGAAATTCTCTAGGGATAAACTAAAAGATATTTGTTAATTCTAGCTGTTACTAGTGATGATAGTTAATATAATAGTAAAGTGAAATTTCAAGATGTTTTATAATTCGGTGATGCGTACCTAAATATTTATAATTATGTAAAATATGTTATGAACTTTGGGTACAGTATCTAGAACATTTGAACTTTCAAACAAGCATTGAGCGCAATTCATAATGTGAAGGATCAAGCGAGTCTATTAGCTTCACATTTTGTTAAATAACATGAGTGCGAAGAAGTAGCAGTGTTCTGCGCCTTGCATTCATAGGTGTGGGTTATGCTTAACATCTGGTATACAATGTATCCAGTACAAAAGCATACACTCTTTCCATATACCCATGTTCATAGTGTCATATATATATATATATATGTAAGTTATACGCACTACATATACGTAACTAGCTATCTTCATGATCTGGCAATTCTTTGACACACATATTGTTTAAAAATTTGTTTAATAAGTTTATCGTAATCTGGGTTATACTTGAAAAGCAGGAAAGCGACGTTTTAGTGGGAAGAAAGCTGTCTAAGCAATGGTGGATGCTGAGTAGATTATAGTATCCACCTTCCAAAAACACTACAGTCAGAGGAAATGCTAAAAGATAGGGTTTTTTAAGGTACTTCGCAATTCCGTTGAAAGTCCTTTATCTTCTTTTTTATTTTGAAACCTTGTAAAATGGTATTTTTACGACACAAGGGTTACGACAACAATTATTCCGTATTTTTGATTATCTGTCAAATGTGATCTACCAAAATCAGCGATCGAATTGTTCCAAATTTATTTCTACTCGTTTTCATGTAAAGACGTAATATGAACGTTATGGGAGATGGGATGGATCGCAATGGGAGAGAACAGCCCTGTATGTTGAGGATGCAAAATTGTGCATTAACGTATCTTATGCAATTCACTCTTGTAATTTTTTATAGCTAGTCTGAAGATACCACATAAGAAACAGCCCTAAACACTTTTTCAGAATAAAACTCTCTCCAAGAGTCATCGTCTGCTCAAAAGTTTCTGTTTTCATCAAAATGGGTATTCATCACAGAACAGTGATTATGTATTCGTATTCGCACAATTGTATAATTTTATTTGAGCTAGTCTGATCGTTGCTCCACTTATTACAGAAGAGTTTAATATGGTTGAGAGAATCCTCTAAGATCAGAAGTAGAATGTTTTAGAAAATGGTTCGTTTTGATCTGGATTTTCAATAACTACAAGAGAACAAGGTGAAGGACAGCGCCAATCAAAACCTGGTCTTTTGAAATATCGCATTGCTTAAAATAAAGATTTATCTATATATTTGAATTATTTAGATTTCCTTTTCATAGATAATAAATACATTTTTTACTGGACATATTTCAATCTTGAACGTCCAACCTGGGTCGACGAACTGCTTTATTACTGGTTACGCTTGTTCAGACCTTTACTATTTCAAATTTAGGCAGGATGTGCACAAATAATCTGCTAAAACATAATTACTTTCAAATGTGTCTGTTTTAGAGTTGTACGCAATTCTAAAAGGTTTTAACAATTTGATTCAAGATAGCATAGTTGTTTTTTACTGGCATTATGCAGGAAAATCAATAGAACGCTAGCAATAAAATTTCGAATTTTGGATAACATATGAAGTCGGATTACATATCACTAAAATTGAAAATGCTTTCGCGTCACTCAATTCTGCCAA